ATTTCAGGCTTTACATGGAAATCAGTGGGTCTTTAACCCGGCTGTTGGTACAGGCGAAAGAGATTAGATACGTGCAGAGCGGGTCGATGCAATGAACTTCTAACCTTTGTGTGTGTGCAGTATGTGAGTGTGAATGTGTGTTTGAGACTGTTGACAATACACAGACCAGCAGATAGATAGATAGACAGAGGCAAAAAGCACATTTACTCAAATATGATACTTCAGTACTTGTGATTTTTTACTCCACTACATTCATTTGACAATTTACATGATGAGTTACTTATCATAGTAAGATTTAATATATGATGCATTTTATAACATAAACTACCAATAGAATAGAAGGTAGTTAAAACTCGACAAGCTGCTTATATGTTGACGCATTAATGAAAATAATCATAATTCTTTAATACATATTAAAAAAACTCTGATAGGGTTGATCCTGCATCTGCTACTTTTGATACTTTAAAGAGACAGTTCACCCCAAAATCAAAAATCCCCATTTTTCCTCTTACCTGTAGTGCTATTTATCAGTCTAGATTATTTTGGTGTGAGTTTTTTAGTGTTGGAGATATCGACCGTAGAAATTTCTGCCTTCTCTCTAATATAATGGAACTAGATGGCACTTGGCTTGTGGTGCTCAAGATGCCAAAAAAAATACATTTGAAAACCTCAACAGCAATGTCTCTTTCCAGAAATCATGACCTGGTTACTCAAGATAATGCACAGACCTTGTTGTGAGCAGTTTTATTTAGGAACTATTTTCTTTCTACGGATTCTGCCGTGGTCCTTCCAGATGCCTCCTGCTGCTGCTGTTATCATTAGTCATACTTCTACTGTTATTATACACATATGATTACTGTCACATATGTACACTATCAAATATTAATATATACTTTCAACATATTGTACCACAACAGCCAGAATTATAATTATAATATTATAACTTTCATTAATGTTGTTGTAAGCTACTGTCATTACCATCTGTCCTGCATCTCTCTCTCTCTCTTTCTGTCTCATTGTGACTTACAGATTACTGTTAATGTATCATGTTGATCTGTTCTGTACGACATCCATTGCACGTCTGTCCATCCTGGAAGAGGGCTCCCTCCTCAGTTGCTCTTCATGAGGTTTCTACCGTATTTTTTTCCCCGTTAAAGGGTTTTTTGGGGGAGTTTTTCCTTAACCGCTGTGAGGGTCCAAAGGACAGAGGGATGTCGTATGCTGTAAAGCCCTGTGAGGCTAATTGTGATTTGTGATATTGGGCTTTATAAATAAAATTGATTGATTGATTGATTGATTGATTGATTGATTGATTGATTGATTGGTTGATTCTACACAGCTACCCACCAAGTGTATCACCATGCAAAAAGGAAGTGTGCATCTACTCATAGACGAGAGTGAGATGTAAACATTAATGGTGTCCTCCTCGGCTGAGCTATAACATTAGTTAGCTCAGTGGTGCTAGGTGAGCTAGCAGTAGGCGCACACTTCTTTTTGGAGATATTGCTGTTGAGTTTTTTAGATGTTTCTTTCTTTTTTGGTGCTTTCAGCATCACAAACATTCTGGGGTGAACTGTCCCATAAAAACATGAATGATGATATAACCTCTGAAAGGGGAGATTTTGCATCTCAAAGAAAGACAGATAGATAGATAGATAGATAGATAGATAGATAGATAGATAGGTGGGTGGATTGCTTCCATTACATTTTGAACACAATGTTAACAAACACTAAAGAAGCCAGAGGTGGAGACTTTTGTTTAAGCAGCCAGTGAAATCCAGCTCACTTCAATGGCTGGCACAGCACACATCTCATTGATATTGTTTTCAAGTGCCACATGTCCAGAGCTGACCTGAGCCGTGGGGACACAGAACAAGCTTTAACAAGTTCTTATTACACAAAACCCCGGTCAACCCCAGTCAACAGACTTGGGTATCAGCTCTGTGAGCAGAGTGCTGTAAATTAACAGAAAAGGAGACTTCATTTTGCCCAGGGATCAATGTCTTGTTCTTGGAACTGCAATCAGAGCTCTCCGGTGAGCGGGCAGGGAGACTGATGCGGCTCCTCAATCATAAGGCCGTAATCAACAACATTTTAAGTGCCCCTTTGTTTTACATTCAATTATACACTAATGGTTCATGCCTAGTGGAAACATTTAAATACTAATGCTGTGTTAATGTAGAGTGAAAGAGGTAGAAAACCTCTTTGAATACTTGAAAAGCCATGGTCATGAGGGCACATACTCCTCTGAACACTCTCTGTTTGTTTAAATGAGTTTAGCTCTGGTGTATTGTTAATACAGCTGAGGAGCCTTGTCAGTTTTTCATCTCTACAACTGTTAAGTTGCTGTTAAAGTTATTCATTCAATATTCAAATACTGAATATGTATAATAGTGATCTAAGGTCATATATGAAAGGAATATTTACCTATTAGATACCCACCAATTACACCTCTAGAGAGCTATTGTACGCTCAATATTGTCAAAAAAACCCAACACTTAACAAACTTCACATCAGTGTCACGTAAAGCAAAAGCAGTCCAAGGTGGCAATAATTTCTTTTGATGAAGCACTCAATAATTTCATTTCAGTATGAAAGGTTGACTTGTACGCAAACATAATGTGTCACCCATTGTTGCCTTCATGAACTTTTCTTTACAAAGCTTTTCAGTTTAACTCTTTCTGTCTTTTATAACTAGGACGACATGTTGGTTTTGTCAAGAGTAAATAATGACAACAATGACAAACAAAAATATATTTTAAATATTTTCAATCACATTATATGCAATCCAGTATTCACAACGCAGTCACAGTCCAATAAGTTAAATTAAAGTTATGTTTTGTTTTTTGTTTGTTTCTTTTTTTGCATACAACCAGTATGGTCAAAGAAGTCAGGTGTAACTGATATGATTAATATAACTGATACGATTGGGACTTGGATCATTTGTCCTTTTGTTGGGGAGACAGAAGCACAGAGTGTCATTAAGATAATGATTTTACACAGGAAGTTAAAAATATGCTTTAACATTTTATGGAAATATGTGAGTGATATCTTTTAGTGGATTTTAATGCAGGCAGTTCTGCTGGTTAAGTGGGCAGAACCACGAATGAATGACTGAACGGGCCTACCAGACACAGGCCCAGGGGCCCCTGTGGCTTTCACCTGCAAAATGTCACTCAGTCAAGTGCAAACCTGTAAGAAACATAAAATGACTACAAAGAAACACAAAATAACTATAAGGAGACACAAAAGACAACAAAGAGATGCGAAGCAGCTGCAAAGAGACACTAAGAGACTCACAGTAAAAATAATGGACGTAGCTACCATGACGTCACACATTTGGTTAGTGAACTCCTGATTTTTTGGTTTTTCAGAGCCAGAGGTAACTATATCTGGCCGAGAGGCTGGCACTGTGGAGAAGCGAGGAGTGGATCTGATAAAGAGGCTTAAGACACTATCTGCAGACAGTCACTCAAAGTGGTCCGCTCTCAATTATGCGTAACTTTAATCCTTAATAAAATGTAAATGGGTGAGTTATATAAAACTTCACCCTCCATACAGTTGTCATGAAGGGGGAAATTAGCTAAAGAGACCAAAATGTGTTTGTTTTTTTGTAAACATGTTTATTTCTACAGTAAAGTTGGACATTTCAACATAGGGGGTATATGGGGACTGACTGGCTTCTGGAGCTGGTCTCGATTGGTCATTCAAGGAAATGCAGTTTTTGAAACTTCCAAATAGGCTTTATTTTGACACCCTAGAGGTTGCTGCTTGCTCACAACAGCTACAAAAAGGGGCAAAACAACCAGAAAGAAACACAAAATGACTACAAAGTGATGCAAAACAACAACAAAAAGAGACTAAACAACTGTAAAATCTGTGCATATTTAAAGTGAAATCCTGAAGGAGTGTAAGACCCAAATTTTGTCACCTGACAACTGTAACAATGGAAATGAATGCTCTTGCAATTATTGTTCACTTGACAAATATTTGAACTGAGATGTGAATTTTTAAGCTGGTATAGGAAAAGCTCAACGTAACTACTTTACATGCTGCTGGCAGCTTAATAATAATAATGCAGTAGTTGATTGACATTTCATAGTATTAATCTAAATCTGTAAAAGAAACTACGTAGTAAAGAATATTGTCAAAGAAATGTAGTGGAATAAAAAGTAGTTGTAACATTGGCGTCCATAAAGTAGGGTTGCAATCGTGAGAAAATTTTCACAGTATGATACAGTAACTGTTTCAGAAAATAATGTGGTTTCATGGTATCACGATATTACAGAATTATTATTATTATTATTATTATTATTATTATCAGTCAGAATAAAAAGAAATAAAACAGGAGGGTTATTTTTGGTTAAACAAACATTTTATTGCTATATTTGAAACTTTTCTTTAATAATGACATTTTTATTATTTTTAAACAATTATTACAGATACATAATACACAGGTGAACATTACTGTAAGTGAAATTGTAAACTCAAACAGAACAAAACAAACACACCAGCACAAAACCCCCCACAAAAAACAACACACAAAAACCCTGAAGGAGAAATCAATAGATAAAATAAAATAAAATAAAATAAGGTGGAAGGGGGTTGTAAAGATGAAACCATTTTTAATGGAAGTGTGTGAAAAAAATATCCCTTTTGAAAATAACTACAGTGAAGCTGAGATTGTGTTATTTTCTTGCATTTTTTATTTCGTAGATGAACAAATATACAGTACTCGGTATGATAAGGTCAATTTTAATATCACGGTGTACCTTGAAACCGGTACATCTGCAACCCTTACCATAAAGTAGCAAAAAAATCAAATACTCAAGAAAAGAACAAGTATCTCAAAGCTGTATTGGAGTACAGTATTTTACACCACTGGTTATAGCAACTTGTGTCTGATCTCTCACCTGACAGTTAAAGTTGCAGTATTGTGAGTGGATACTGGGACGGAGGTCTTTTATTTTGAAATTCCCGGAGCGGATGTTGATTCGGAAACGCTGTTGGAGCAGTTGTGTTTCCCTCAAAACTAGCTTCATAGCTAAATATGTCACATAACTAAACATAAAACTTTGCCTCAGACAGCGGGCGCACATATATCTACCGCTAAAGCTAAACCTCTCATACGGTTATGACGTGACCGTTAACCGACCCCGCCTTTGTAACGTTTTTAAATCCTCCGCATCACTTGAGAAAAGTGTCTGTACTGAGCAGGATGCTAGCATGTGTCGTTAGCAAACCACTGCAGGAAATTAGCTCGTTAGCTTAGACAGCCAGTCAGGTATTAGTATGAAGCTTCATGCTTCCTCTTTATGCTCATACTCGATTTAAATAAGCCGTGCGAAATGGACACCGAGGCGATAGTGATCCGCATCAAGACGCCGTCAGGGGACATGGACTCGGCCGTTGACTGTCCATCTCTTCTCAACTTCAATGACTTGCTGGTGAGTCTTTAAAATGCTACAGAGCTAGCTAACTGTCACTCTTGTTTCCTCTTTATGTTAGCAGTTAAAAACAGCTGTACAGTGGTACAGTTTGGATGTGACACTTTCAGTTTCTGTGTCTGTGCCAGTTATACACCAAACAGTGAACCCACTCTGACCCTACCTTATATATTAATATGTGTGGTTGTTGTTTCGAGGTCTGTCTTTCTTCCTTTATATGTACACAGTGTTAAACTGTGCTTTATCATTGTTCCTGTTCACACAGGTCGCCATCAGAGATGTGATGCCTGAAGCCACTGTCACAGCATTTGAATGTAAGTGTCTGTGTCATACTTGTATTACCTTATTGCTGAAACAGGAACAACATCAAAAGTTTACAGTACTGTGTGATCTTCTGAGCGACCTGTACTGTGTTTCTGATTGGTAACAGTTTGTACAACAAAACCATAGTCCTGTAATTTACTAACTTTATATCAACTGTCAAAACCCCCCTATTGCTGTATGGGAGCCCTTTGATTATCATATTCATCATAGATTTTGCTCCTAATTAAGGTAATGTGTTCAGATGTACGGTATATGGCTACATCTGGAGAGGGCAGGACAATATGAATCGCTGAAGTGCTATCATTATGAATCAAAATAATATGTATTGTGCTAAGTTTTTAGATTGTTGTATAGCCTAATTTAAAAAAAAGAATAGCACCCCACATGTTTTGAATTGTTGTATATCCTGGGCAGCACAGTGGTGCAGTGGTTAGCAATGTTGACTCACAGCAAAAGAGTACCTGCTTTTGAACCCCAGGGTAGGGGGGCCCTTCTGTGTGGGGTTTGCATGTTCTCCCCATGTCAGTGTGGGTTTTCTCCAGGTACTCCAGCTTCCTCCCACAGTCCAAAGACATGCAGGTTAATTGGTGACTCTAAATTGTCCGTAGGTGTGAATGTGAGTGTGAATGGTTGTCTGTCTCTATGCGTCAGCCCCGTGTTAGTCTGGTGACCTGTCCAGGGTGTACCCCACCTCTCGCCCAATGTCAGCTGGGATAGGCTCCAGCACACCTGCGACCTCCAACAGGATGAGTGGTTATGGAAATGAATGGACAAATGTATATCCTAATAAACTAGATTAATTTATTAAATTTTTTTGGAAAAAGATTTTAAGGAGCATGGATTCTAAACAGTTTGTAGTAATGCTTATGGTCAGTCTTTGTAATTATGTCAACAAATTGGTGGATATAACTGGTGAGTATACTGTAGTTTGTGCTTGGCATTTGGATAAATCATTAAATGCTGACAAAAGACACTTTTTGTCATTTCAACCCAGAAATATAAACAGTAAAATACTGTGTACTCATGGCAGAGATATTTGTGTCTTTGTCTGTCTTGTATATTACATGCTGTGCTGACTGCGTTACTCATAAAACTTTTGCATTGCACGTCATCACAGTTATCAGTTTCTGTCAATTTTTACATTTTGTTTTGAAAATACATGAACCGTCCCCATTTATATACCTAAAATTTTACAAAGGCTTTGTTACTTTTCTCTCATGTTGTTCCTCAAAGTGATGTGAACAGTTTCAGAAGGATTGATGTAAAATGACTTTGCTTTCAAGGTTTTCATGATATGGAGTAAGTTGTATTTGTCAAAGCTCCCAAAGTATTATTAGATGATATAAAATGCAAAATGTAATTAAATTTTGTGTTACAGTTGCTGTAAGTTTGTTATGTTATCTCTTACCTCTAAATCAATTCAGTTTTATGTCAAAAACGCAATCCTCTGCTTTGAGTGCTGCCCATGATGTTGATAGCTGTTTATGTTTTATTGTTTAGGTAAAACGTTTTGTAATCCAAATTTTAAAATGCTGCTGTGTTTTTTTAGATGAAGACGAGGTGGGGGACAGAATCACTGTAAGAAGTGATGAAGAACTTAAAGCCATGTTGTCATATGTGAGTATATAAATGAATGATTTCACACACCCATTCCACAAATTGCACAACATAATTGTATGTTTATGTTAATTTTATGATGTAGCAGTTTTAGCAGGGGGCTGTTTGTTCATCAGCGAGTAGTTCTAATGAAAAATGTACACTTTAAGGTCAAAACGGACTGTCTCAGACAGAGGGTGAATACAGTTCCAGCACAGACAGTATGAGGAAAATTAGGTATTTGGAACACTGAAGTATGTAAACACATTCTTGTAGAATCCCAAAATACAAGTATAAACCTGAAGATTAACATCATAAGTAGGGCTGTACTTAACAATTATTTTCACTGTTGATTATTTGCTGATTATTTTCTCGATTAATCAAGTCGTTTTTTGGTCTAAAAAATGTCAATCTGTGTTTCCCAAAGCAGAATGTGATGTCCTCAAATGAAAACCAGAAAATATTTACATTTAAGAAGCTGGAATTAGAGAATTTTTACTTCTTCTTCTTTTTTTTTTTTTAAACCGATTAATTGATTATCAAATAGGTTGTCTTTGTAGTTCTAATAATAGGTCCCTTTTAAGGTATAAAAACAATCCACAAAGAGAAAAACTTGAAAATATTTTATAGTTAAGTATGTTTTTGTTGCAGTGGTACAGGGTTCCTGTCATGGTCACCAAAACCTTATATAGTGGTGTTTAAAGGGTTCAAGATGGTCAGATTGCCTATCAGATACTGTATCTTTTTAAAAAGGCAACAGTGAAGAAAACACTTGGTATATTGTGGTGTTGGAGGCGCCACTGGTCTGATGCTGATGAATAGACAGGATCGACAGATTTTGACTTCCTGCTTCCACCTCTACACTGACGTTGTGTATCTGCAATTTAGTAACCTGTGAAAAATTTTGTAACCATATAGCCTTATCCAGTTGAGTTTAACCTCAGGTAGAAAATTGTTTATTGGTAGTTTCAAGCAACACACATACACTCAGCCCCATGAATGTACACACTTCCTCTACACATCCAGCTCCCCCACCTAGTGCTGTACATTTTCATATTCCACCATATTTACTGTTCATGCCACGGACAGTAAGAGTAATGGCGTGTAATGGGTTTCTCTACGAGGTACACTGAAAGCTAAATGAACTGTCAATTTTTATTATTTATTATTCAGTACTTAAAGTTTTGCCTCATTAAAGAGCGAGGCCCCCTGGGCTGCAGAATTGTTCAAAATCTACTTTCATCTGTGGATGTCTTTTACCCCCCATCAGCTCACAATGATGCTGCTGGAGCCACAGGCACAATTTACACTCCTTGTTTTTTGTCCATTTTTATCATGCATTCACTTGTGGTTGCTTTTTAATCATTAAGTAGCATAGGGTAGCAGGGTGATTAAGCAAAAAGAGACAGCTGTTGTGCCGATGAGCGTTTTGGAAACAGGGATGGAAAAAGTATTGACCTCAGCCAGCTTTTTTATTCTCAACTCAGCCTTTTTTTGCGATTTTATCCTGTTTGAATTGGTGACGCTTTCAAGGAAATCACAGTATTGATGTACCAATAAGGTTTAAGGAATTTTCTGTCCTGTGGTTCTGGTATCACCACCACCATTTTGTGTATTGTATGCCAAAATTGCAACTCAATATTACCTTATCTATCTATTATATTTATATGGGGATGATACTGGATATCGTCTTAGATTTTGGATATTTTAATATTGTGTTGTCTCTTCCTGGTATAAAAGGCTGCATTACAGTGAAGTGATGTAATGTTCTGAAAATATCACACTGTTCCAGCTTTTCTATTATTTGTCTTTCCCCACTTAGTCATAATATCCACATTACTGGGGATTTTTTAATCTTATTGTATAAATATTTTGTAAAAACACTGATAGTCAGTGCTACAATATCTTTAAAATATCTTTACAATATCAATATTTAGGTATTTGGTCAAAAATGTTGTGATATTTGATTTTCTTCATATCGTCCAGCCCTATTTAGAAGTACAGTTATGCTGCTGCAGTAGATTTTGATAGTGCAGTGCTACTTTTTTGTTCTTTCAGGACATGTGTGGAAGCATAATTTAAGATAATTTTGAAAGAAAAGACCATGGCACTCTAATTCTTAAACTAACTGGATGCATGATCAACCAATTTGGGCTGCACAAAATACAAAAACATTGTATAGTGATTGTTTTTTTTTTTGATACTGCAATTGCAGTATGAGTCATGATTTTAGTGGGAATGGTAATTTTATGTTTTCTAAAAAATATATATATATAAAAAGATGAGGATGTGATTTTTGGCTGGGGTCTTTACCCAACAAGCATGTTCCCTTACATCTGAAACAATGTTGGAAATTAAAATCTAAAACCAGCCACTCAGTAGATTACCATTGTATTTTGGGGTGGTAAATGAAGCAAATCCAGCAGCCACTTGCATATTTTACCAGCATTTGGCTGGTGCCCCACACTGGTCTCAAATATGATTTGTAGGCCGGGTTATCTCCATAGCACCGCAATATAGACCGAGCACATTTAAGTCTCACCCCCACTGGACAGGAAAACAATTCATTCTGTTGACTTTGTAGCTAGAGAACATAAAATGCCTAGAAAGCTGCTGCGTGGTGAGATGCACCACCAACATGGTAAAGAAAGCATAACTTAAGTTTTTACAAGCTGCCAAACCACAAAAACTGAGCTTTTAAGCAATATGAGGCATCAGCAGGAATATATAGGAAACTGTGGGAGCCTGACCTTCAATAACTGAGGAGGTTGAAGCTAACTAAGCTATGTGCAGCCTGCTTTTGATCTTTGTTAGATTAAATGATGATCGTACCTGATGATTTGGTCAAATAGTTGTAAATATCAAAGTTTTTCACTTTCACAAGTTCACTGGGATCATTTCTCCAAGATAAGCAAGGTAAGGAGAAGGGAAACTGAAATAGACTCACAATATGGAGTTTGTCAATGTAATGTTCTCTCTCTGGTAGACAAAAGATGCTAACATAATCCGTTCAGACGCTCAGAAATCCAATGTTTTAGCTACCTACAGGCATTTTCTCTGCTTTTCAGCCCTTGGTTGTACACTGTGGCGCCGGTAATTTTCCCCTCCAGTGGGTGTGGTGTTCAGAGTATGATGCATTGCGCTTTGTCTTTATGGTTCATTTATACTGATACAGTATGTTGTGACATATTTTACCTTTATCAAAAAATTGCAGAATCTGTGATTCTGATATTGCCCTTGTTCATTTTGCAATTTCGATAATATTTCGATTAACTGCGCAGCCCTACAACCAATTGCCGGTATACCTGTGTATTTCTGTAGAGAAGCAGAGGCAATACAATTACAACAACTTCAAGCTACAATTGGAACCATTGTTGTTCATGGTAGTCAATTTTTAACTAGATTTTTATATGAAAATATCACTGAACTTAATCTTTATTATGTTAACCTGTAACTGTATATTTTGTACATTTATGTAGTACAACAAGCAACAATAAACATATAGTACTATTTCTTTTTGTAATGTTAAAGGGCAGCTTATTGTCCCAACAGTTATTAGTTCTTTATTCAGATGATGCGACATGTCTTAACAGCATATTAATTTAGGACCCTGACCTGCAGCACAAGTATTTAGTATCCACAGCACTGCACTGCTTCGTCCACAGATTTCAAAAGCCACAATGAATTTTTGGCAAACAAATCCAAGAGCACCGTAATAGCTTTCTACTCCTCGTGGGACAGGCAAGTGCACAAAAAGCTGCTGATCACCTGGAAAATACTGAGCTCACTAAAATATCATTTACACTAACCGAGTACTTTAAATGTCTTATGCAAGGGTTATACGTTTCAGCAGTCATTTGCATTTGTATTCAGAGGATTTTTTTTCATGTTGTCGTTGTTTGCTGTGGTTGCCATTTGGCCTCCGTAGAGACCTCAGTGGATTTTTGCCTCAGTGTTGTTAATTCCAGGTGAGCAGACAGCCATTATGTGAAATTAATAGGAATTAAGGAAAACCAGCATGTTAGGTGAAAGGTGGGATAATTCATTAGAGTCTCTCATGGTTGCATTTCTGTGTGTGTGTGTGTATGTTTGTGATAATTAATTGATATATTTATACCCAGACTTTTAAACATACCGTCACCACACAGTGCTTTTTACAATATCCAAGATCCTTGCTTTAACATTGCCTTGTGGAAAAAAAAAATTATGCTCCTCGTTGCTGAGCAAAATTAATGCTCAAATTCAGCACTTAATTAACATCAGTCTGCAGAGGGCATTTATTGTGAGCAGTATCCCCCGTCACTGAGAACATTGATTGCTACATGCTCCTGTGAGACCCACAAGTCTTCCAGGCATCTCTAATCATTGTTCGACACCTTGAAAGACAGACGCCCCTGTTCAAAGTTAAAGACTGGCCTATGTCAGATGCTAAAAAAAAACATGTGACCTCATCCGTTCCTCGCTCAGCTCCCCCTGGAGGTAGTGGCTCTAATTCCACCATTCTTACTCCCATTTTCCCCTTAGCCTGCTAATGATGATGAGACCCACTCTCTGCTCCCGCTCTCCCACTTGTCCCTTAAGGCTGAGCGATGGTATTTGGGATCGGACACTGTTTAGTTATTGGCCAACAATGGAGAATGTCTTTTAATAACACACATACTACAGATTAGGTGGTAATTGCAGCCTTAATCAATAAGCTAGCTGAGCGGAAAATTAAAGGTACGTGAAGCCCGACCCCCCAAACACACCCTCAACACACACAACATGTTTTTTGGTATTAGGCCCATTGTTCAGATGTGGCCTAGTGAAAACGCTGGAGGGCGAAAGCAGAGGGCTAGGAGCGAGGAGGGATCTGACAGTGATAAATAGGCCTTTTAATAACAGCTGTGCCACTTGGGTAGCCATTCTGATCCATTCCCATCCAAGCCGGTCCCATCGTCCTCCCTCCTTCCCGTCCTCCCCCACAATGAGAGAGCAAATTTACATATCACAGTGATGACTTGGTAGTTTATACTGGATTGTAACTGAAGCACAATGAACACATGTATGTGTGGGCTACGTAAAGACATCTTCTAAAGTGTCTAACTGTGTCTTTGTTAAGTCTTGCTGTTAATTTTTGTTGGTTTGAAGCCTCAGAGAGGAGGGGATATAAACAAAACACACATTATGCACACACACACGCTCACAGTTTAACAGATGGTTTGGTTAACTGAAACATCAATTATTGCATTGCCTTGGCAAGCGTCTGCGAGGCTCCAGAGCGTGTGTGTGTGTGTGTGTGTGTGCACGTGTTAGTCCTGTAGGATATGAGTGTTTGGTGAGCTGTTGACCTGGAGGAGAAAAGGGTTAATGCTACACTCCTCCAGAACAAGCCCACAGGGCATTGGTCCTCATCGGCAACAGATTTCAGCACAGCATGCTCACATTTTTGGGAACACTGTGGATTAATTCTGACGTCATTTAGATAAACAATTTTCTGTGTGGAATACTCTAAAATCAGTGTAGCACATACGCAAATTGCAAATTTACCAAGGCTTTTCTTCATTTGTTTTTTCTTTTAAGTAAAGTAAGTCATTATCCAAACAAATTATATTTAAAGAGGACCTATTGTGCTCATCTTCAGGTTCATACTTGTGTCTAAGGATTGTACTAGAAAATGTTAAATAGGCTTAAATGTTCCAAAAAAAAAAAAATACTGGCAATCAGTGATAATTTAACTTAATCAATGTGGGCAAGATGAACAGAAACAGAATTGAAGAAGAATTCACCCACTGTCTGAAATGCTCTGTTTTAGCGCCAGTCTCCTTAAACGTTAGCATGTAGCTAGCATGTAGTTTTTCATAATCTGCTTGTAAATTCAATACTTTTTTCTTTTATTTGTTTGTGTTTTATCTGTGTAATGTGTAACTGTGTTTTGTACTTGCTGCTGCCTATCTTGGCAAGGTCTCCCTTGAAAAAGAGATTGTTAAGAGACTGTTGGAAACAAAGTATTCACAACAGTAGGAAGCCTGAAGTTTCTGCTCACAGGGATTACTTCTATACACGCTTACTTCATTATTTGAAACCTTGGCCAAGTCAAATATGAACATCCATCATTGTAAAGCTATATATAAGGGTGCTTTCACACCTGCCCAGTTTGGTTCGGTTTAGTCCAACCAACTCAAGTTCGTTTGCCACTTAAGTGCAGTTCATTTTGGCAGGTGTGAACACAGCAGTCACACTCAGGTGTGCACCAAAACAACCAGACCAAGACCTTCTTGAAGAGGTGGTCTCAGTCCGGTTACAAACAAACTCTGGTACAGTTTGTTTGTGGTGAGAATGTGTTCCAACCTCGATTAAAACTACCTGCAGTCACATGACACATTGTTTGGGTTAAACATGAGCATGTTACAGTCCTGGAGGATTATTAATGTGCACCTCCTCCTGTACTGCCTTAATATGCACATTCAGCACATCCAATACATCAAAACATTGTTTTCTAGTTGGAGCCGCGCCTGGTTTTCAAACTGTATGGTTTGACTAAAATGAACAATGACAGCAATATAGTCCACGATGAGCAGCGCTAAAATCAACCTGCAGAGTTGTCCCTCCATTGTGACATTAGAAAGTGTCACATTTATCTTGCAAGTGTACTCTTCTTCAACGTTTTGTTTACTTCCTGGATTTTTCCTGCATGGAAATTCTGACCAATCAAGAGCAGCTTTCTGGCACAAGGCAATTGATCTGGTCCACTTGTAAATGCTGCCGTGAGAACACGAACCAACTCTAAGCAATTGTACAATTTTGTAACAAAATAAGTCTCTGATTCAAACCAAAGCAAGACAACTCTAGGTATGAAAGCACCCTGAGACAGAAAATACAAAAAAGCACAATATGTCCCCTGTAAGTTCCTCTATATATAATAATCACTATTGTTCTCAACTGTTTATGACTTTCTTTTCCCCTTTAGTACTTCAACACAATGAATGAACAACGCATGAATGGACTGCTGCCGGACCCTCTACAGATTTTTCCACGAGGTACAGAGTGACATGTTACAGTTTATCATAGACTGGTAATGCTGAAAGGCTCAATACGTCTTTGTAATTAAAGTGTTGACAATTAATCACAAGCAAAAATTTAAATATACAAAAATATTCACACTTTCCTAGTTGGAAACTATTAAACCAAAATTTGTGTAAGTCACTTGCTCCCATTTTCATTTTGTTTGAACACAGGGCATTTGGTGGCTCGCAGTAACAATGCAGCCTCTGGAAAACATTAAAATTCAGTGGCTCATTGTGTTTCGTGTTGACAGTCAGTTATAAATCTACATTTCTTTTGCTCCAAGGACATTGAAACTGCAAGCTTGTGTTCAGGCTAAGCCTCGCCCAAATCTCTGGCATTATGCAGTTTCTTACAAAACTGGTTTTGACTACTTTTTATATTCATACATTTTCTATATCTTCATATAGTTTTCTCTGCACCCAAAGTCATACATAATCACTAACAAGCCCCAAGGGCAAAGTTTATAGTCTCCCTCTCTTTTTACTCTGTATCTGCCTCTTTCTATCCTTCTCCTTTCTCTAACTCTGTTTTTCCTTCCTACATACCAGCAGCTGTCTCAAGAGCCCAACATCTCAATCACTCTCTTATCTACAACTAATTTCAGAGTAACCCTCATTTCATTTCACATTTTTTTCCTTACAAAGAACTGATTCCTTTTCAGCACATTTGTAAATGGCCCAGTGATGTGTTCTACAATCTAGTCAATTACTGTTTCAGCCGGCAAGACTCCAGGGATCCGGAACATACATGGCCTGAAGGTACCTATCTCAATAATTGTTTCAGCTGCCTTACACAGAGAACACGGGGAGGGGAGGGAGGGAAGTTGAGGCAAATGGATTGGTAACGCTGTGTTCCACTTATTGAAATGTCAATTGAAGTCAAGGCTCTCCTTTTCTTTCACTCATTCTCTTGCTCCCCTTGTCCATGTTTATGTATGGGGACGGCTGGCTGTGGCTGCAGCGGGGCTTCATCTCTCTCTTCTTCTCTTATCTTCTTACATTCTTGGGTCTTAGTCATTTGAAAGCAGGGCGATATGCTGAATCCTTGATCCCCCTCCGGAGTATTATGATCTCTCATTCCACATGATAAGAAGAACATCAGCACCGGTTAGAGCAAAAGCTAAGTCAATAGGAAGATGTCATTGTTCAACCATGAAATTGTCATTACAAGCCCCCCTCTGCCATTTACAAATGGCCTTCCATAGACCTTCCCATTTTATGTTGGGCATATGTTGCTATTGAAACCCATTGCTAATTACCATGGGTTAAATGACTTGACACCTCCTCCATCTCTCCAGATGATCCATATTATATCTATCTCTATTTCAACAATAATATCAGCCCTCCCTTTCCAAACACTGAAAGTGCTTTATTTAAAGTATCCTCTGAGGAGCTTTGGTTACAACCACTGAACTGTGTCAGTTTTTTTTAAGGTCAAGGGTCCTTGTTTTGATAAGATGATGTTTTCCAAAAACCTTAAGTCCTCTGGTAATCTTTCCCCTCTTTTCTCCTGTTTTAATATAAAAGTAATTGGCTGAGGGGAGTCTGGTGCGCTGTTTAAATTAGGTCTTCCTGGGCACTAATTAAAGAGAGAATCCATGTGCTTTACTGGACCCAACACACCGGCCTTTTGACCTCAATTAAAGGAGTTATTTTTAGTGCACCCTTTTCTTGTCTCTTCTTTTGTGTACAATATCTGGGTTGAGTACAGACGTCTTTGGAGTAAACATAGATGCAGATGAAAAGAACAGGAGCAATAACCCCAGTGAGGCATGACATTTTTAATGTCTTAACGTACTTCATAACCACAACATCCGCGGTTTCGATTCCAGCCAGGGGATCTTTGTTGCATGTTATACCCATCTCTCTTTCCATTTCCAGTCTGCCTCCACACGCTACATCTGTCCAATAAAGGCAAAAATGTCCCCCCAAAAACAAACTGCTTTATTTTCCTGCAGTCCTTGCCAAAATCTGGTTTATCGGTCTCACGTCCTTCAGTTTTAAGCTGTACTTTCATGCAAATATATTTTTGGCTCTCCTCTCCTCCCTTTTCCCCTTCTGCTGCCTGTCATCCTTTCCCCTCCTCTATGTGGACACCTCTTTCTTTCTTCCTCTCCTGCCTCCCTTCTCTCCTACGAAAGCCAATTAACCTCCAGGCTGAACTGAGAGCTTGTGTTTTGTTCTTGTTCATTAGGGGGTCTGGCCATATGTCTGTCTGTCTGCCTGTCTTTTGGCCTTGACCACTAAGTGTGTGTCTGTGTGTGTTTGTGAACATGTGTGTGTGTGTGTGTGTGTGTGTGTGTGTTTTCACATTGTTGTGTATGTGCTTGCACACCTTCAGGTTAATACAAGACCTAACCCAGGCAATGACTGCACCCATGTTGTCCCAGACTCCATGGCCAACAACAGGTGAGCTTTGGCAGGGCATGAGGAGCATGTTACACTGCCTGGAATAAACTTCAGTGGGTTGATAGATGAGTAGAAAGATGTCTGTGGTGCTTGCATCAGCTGTGTTGTGTTCCTTCCTCCAGCTTAAAAAAATCATCTGCTGAGCTGAAGAGGATCCTGACAAATGGGCAGGTGAGCCTGTGTTTTGAGTTTAAGTAGAATTTGACCGTTGTTATCTTGCTGCTCCTGCTCTCACACCTAGTTTCCACTGACTTAAAACACATTCTCGCTAGTGGTAGTTGGCACTTCCATTGATTTTCTGTGATGCCAACTTTGGGCATGTTATACAGAGTGTATATCTGGTTATCGTCTCTTCACTGTGCTACAGTGGGAGCAGGAAGTCTGTGGGTTCGTAGGATCAAGCCTGCTACGGTTACACCTCTCTTTCTCTTTTATAAAACACACTCTCTCTCATACACACACACACACACACACACACACACACACACACACACACATATGCACACAGAGTTGCTAGCGTGTCAGGGAGACAATTAAGGTAGCGGCCTCTCAGGTTTCTCCTGTAACACAGTGAACTAATAGAGCTGTTCTCTCCCCTCTCCTCTATCCCTTCATCAATCTCTTCTCATTCTCTTCACCTCTCTCCTCTCACCCTGTTATCAAACCAATTAGATGGACTGGGGGGGACATGAGTCGTGTACACACATGCTTACATGTGTGTTGTGATGCGTGCGTCTTTCTGTCTGTACAAAATACAAATTGGCGGCCCCACATTTATATCATATCAATATCAATCATTGAGCGCCACACACAAACTGTTAATACACATGTTGAATGAAGTGCTTCAATGCAGCATGGACTGGGGACGTAGATAATTAGAGAATTATTCACTGGACATTGTAAACTCTGGGCATTTGGGATCCAAATATAAACAATGATTTTCCCCTCTGGACTATTTTGCTTGTTTTGTGTAAATTGAGGGACTTTCAGGACACTAGCATTTTGCAATTGTATAGGCTATTTCTTGTTACATCAATAGCACTTACAAAATATTGTAAATTAAATGGCTTAAAGTTTTATAACATAGTTCTCAATATGTTTATGTAAATGTTTGTTTTTTTACCGTTTTCATTTTGGTATTAGCAGAAGATATTCATAGCATCTGTTAAAGGTCCGGTGTGTAGGATTTAGGGGCACCTACTGGTTGAAATGGTATATAACATTCATAACTATGTTTTCATTAGTTTATAATCACCTAAAAATAAGAATTGTTGTGTTTTAGTTACCTTAGAATAAGCCATTTATATCTGCTTAAGGAGCCGCTCCTCTTCCAAGGAGTCCGTCATGTTGTTCTACAGTAGCCCAGAATGGACAACTTGAACACAGGCTCTAGATAGGACCATTAGTGTTTTTATGTTTTCGCGTCGGCCACTGTAGTTCTCTGACACGTGGGAGAAGTTTCGGTTTTGCAGTGTTATTGCTAGATGCCACTAAATCCAACACATTGGACTGTAGAATGCAGAAATTCTCACTCTAAAACTCGAGACCAGAACAAACACTACAAAAAAATGTGAAAATATTTTTCTGAAATGAATGTATGACTGTTCACTTTAGCTATAAAATAATCCACTCTTACATTAGGATAGTGAAGTAACACTTAACACTTGAGTAGCACTTAAAGTCTATAATGTAACTGCTGAACTTGAGGAGCCAGGAGTTCATAATTATCCACACAATATCATCAGACAGGCAGTGTATTACCCTTCTCCACCATTTAGGAATTTCACACACAGAATGCTATCTCTGTTATTTGAGATATATTTACATGAACTCTAATTAAATCATAACCACAACATTATTTCAGCTCTCTGTTAAAATTCCACAGACGTACAGGAAAGGTTTGACTGGTAATTTCAAAATGGGCGAGAGGAGGAAACTTTTTCCCAGACTAGCCATGTCTGTGTGGACTGTATTAAATTCCTTCAACACTTTTTCCTTTTCTTTTTTATCAATGATAAGTGGAACAATGACTGCAAACAAATCATCATTTAACTCCACATCAGTTACTCCCCCACTCACCCAAGCACAATGTCCTTTTATAAATTGGACAGCAAATGTTGTATTGATCTCCTCTTCTCCTCCGTCCGCCCCTCTGCTTTCTCTCCTTATGCTGCTGAACTTGAAGTGACCTGAATGCCTGTCTTGTTTATAGCCTCCAGTTACAATGTTGTCCCCCTCTTTCTTTCACTCTCCTTCTCTCACCTGTGTAGTTAGTTACACATATCATCCACTGGTTGCATGTCTTCTCATGTTATAACATCTCAGTACCATTATTGTATACCTGTGTCTGCAGATAAATGCCCAAGATATCCACTATCAAGAGCAGCTTGGCCATGGAAACGGAGGCACAGTCTACAAGTAAGTATTCTTAGGCTCTCACATTGAGGCTCTACCATTACAAGCCCATGGCACAATAATGAATTGTGACACTGAGGCGATACCTGCTGAAGCAAGTGAGATGGTCTGAATGATGTATTCAGTGGTGTTAAAGCCTCTATACAGTGCAGATACGGAGGAGGAATGTCTCAGCTAGTGGCCAGTTTAAGACTGATGCTTGTGATACGATTCTTGGCTTTTCATATTTTTTTTTTTTTCAGCTCAGTTTTTATGACAAACGCATCACTCTATAGGGTTCTGTGAATGGTTCTCCATTGTTCACCACCCTTCCTCTGTTCCTCCCTTCAACCCATTTATCTCAGTGTTTTGTGTGACATCTATCAGGCTGGTTTGTGTCTTTACTTTCATTTATTTATTCTGGTTTGAAGGTTGCAAACATATATGATATCGATTTGAGGCTGTAAGGTATGACAGCAATTGACTTAATCCGTCTATAGTTCAGCACATTACCTGCCACGATGGGAGAGCTCCATCCTCCCTGGCTAGACAAATGTATTACCGCCCTGCTAACGTTATGACAAGCTTGGCATTTGTGTTGCTGCCTCTATCCTTCTTTTCCCCACCTCGTGTGTCCTCCCTCCCATCAATCCTTAGCTATTGAGCTGTTTTATTGAGATTGAAGTATTGATCACTGCTCAGACTAACCTTGACTTGACAGAGTGGTCTGCTTTACACAGTCCCCAGCAAAACCAGTAAATGTCCCATCTGGCAAATACACAAAAGTGTCCTTTTTTTATTTTCACCCTTTTCTTTCCAACCACCTTTTTCTGTTTTATGACTTTGAGATAGTTTCATTAAGAGCCAATCTATCATAGTTGTAGGAGAGTAAGATTGCTGATCAGTTTGGCACCAAAAATGGTTACACTGCAGTGGGGAAGGCCAATATTGCAAGCCCAACAACTTCTCAGTCAATTTAGTCAAGGAAAAAAATCCATATGCTTTGGTGCTGAAATTTTTATGGTTGGAAGGAGAAGATAAAAAAAATACAGATTTAAAAAAAACAGCCTGGTTGTTTATACCATGTTGATGCTATAGATTGTTTTATGTCATGCCTATTTTAATTAAGATAAATCTCATTTAGTAAGCAGATGGGCTCAAACATGCTTTTCAACAGTGGCACAGTGAGCATGTCCCTAAATATATATGCTGCTTCCCAAATTCATACTACACACTAATTCTCAAACTGTAGAAGTGACAAAATATACATTTTCAATACACCAATAGAGTTGCGATGTCTGAGAAATTTCCTTGATTTTTAAAATTCTAAATGTATGAAAACTAACATAATTTGGGTTTTTGTTTCATTGTACAAAGCAGGAATTATGGTCTGTCCTAAATATGCTTGTTAAAGTCTGGGTAAAGTAAAATCAGCGATTTCTTTCTAGTAAATACTTGATGAAAACCTGAAAAGACTGGGAACCATGTAGTGCTGAATTGTGGAGTTTGTCCATTCAGCTTTTTCGCCATTTCTGTGTCCTATTATTAGAAATACGTTACAAACAAACATCAGAACGCATAGTATCAGTGTTGTTTCTTTTGCCCACTGTGTGTCAGCGGCGAGTTTGCCACATCCCATGAGCTTTCTGAGCTCTTTCAGTCTAATAAATACACAAATAAGCATCTCTGTCAAATGTCACAATCATATAAACACAACCTAAACAGCTGTCACTATCGTACCTTTCAGTCTTTCTGGCCGAACCAGACCCCCAGCAGTTACTGCTCACTGCTGTGGAAGTGTGCTTTGTGCTAATGTTAGCTGCTGTCAGCTACTGAGCAAGAGGCTACAGCCACACGGCAGCTCTTGTTCCCTGGTTTGGAGACTGTGTGTGCTGCTGGCTTAGCTGCTAACAAGAGTCTGTGGCCGTGCAGCGGCTCATGCTTCGGCTTGGGGGTCATGTATGTTACTGCGCTACTGGGTTGGCTGCTGAGTAGACTCTGTAGTAGTGCAGTGGCTCTTTGTTTGGCTCAGTGTGTTTTTATCCACCACTCTCTTTCGTCACCACCCTCATAATTCACAGCGAAACCAAAGTGGCTTCAAACACCACACCTGTAGGTTATCTAAGGATCTCCTATTTCTGGTCTGGCAATAGCGTCACTAACCATACTGCAACGAGCTAGCTTAGTGTAGCATGCCTCTGTGTATGTCTGCTTTGAGTAGAATCACAGCGTGTTGCCTGTTTCGTCATGTGGGCCGCCTCTTTGAGCACTGTGGCACTGAGAACGTTATATTTCACACAGTTTAACCTGTATATTTTATTTTCCAAATGTAATAAGACAGTTCAGCATATCGTTCAGTTCGTAATGCGTACTGGACCGAGCTTATACCAAATGGTTCAATACAAATATGTGTATCGTCACACCCCTAGTAAAGATATGGTGGAGTAATGGCATCCTGAGCAGAGAATTAAGTCAGGCTACCTCTGTGTGTTGTAATCTGAGCTTCTCTGCGCTTTGTTAAAGTAAATGCTACATCATGTGTGTATCCAGCTGGCTAGTGCATTGCTGTCGCTCTGCACTGGGCTCACACATTGGTTACTGCTGATATCGGGATGGCATCATGGTGTAAGCGTAGTGTCCACCCTCCGGTACTTCCTTGTTAACACGATTAGCTCTGTCAGCAGTGTTGCTGATGTGAAGTGCTGTTAAAGGAGTTAGCACTGTTAGCTGCTAGCAGCCGACTCAGTCACCACCATTTTGAGAACAACTAATTCGTTATGAATTTCACTTAGAGCCTTTTAAATAACAATGTTTGGATCATTGCAACATTATGAACACTACATCTACATAATGTATTTAATATATGAGAGCTTCTCTTCCAACGATGTCTTCTGGACAGAGAACAGATGTTAGTCCAGTTTAGGAGCTACTTTATGTGCTCCTTTATCCTTCCAGAATTGTCCCATTTGAGGTCAACATTTCTGCACCCTGCTGAGGACAGCTAGGGTGATGGCCTTTCCTTCTATGTCCAAATGATTTATCAGAAACTTCAAGGGTGCCTGTAAGTCATTATCCAAGCCTCTCATAAGCCCGCACTTTACAACTAGGCTTTTGCTTCCCACACTACCCCAGGTACATCCTTCCTGGCCTGCTGTTCCCTCTCTGCTGAGTCAGCATTAGCTTTGAAAGCTCTGACTCTATATACCCAGTCTCCATCATGACTTGGAGAGGTTGGCTCAAAGATTAAAGCTAAAACCATACTAAATAGATAGAGCAGTGTCACCTACCAACTGCTAATACAGCAACATAGTTACTGTAATTGTAGATCACCGCCAAGATCTGCCCTAGCTAGCCTGTGCTCTGTCCAAATCACAGAAACAACTGCACTTTCTTTCACCATTCTTGACCACATGTTTGTGCACAACCTGGACCTTGCAGGCCTGACTAATGTTTATAAGGTTCTTAAAGAACATCTTCAGTAATCACATTTTGTTCTGAAAAATAAATAAATGTAGTCTGTTAGTCTTTGCGTCTTTTAAACAAAAAGGGCGTAGTATAAGTAGTATAAAGCTAGCGTTTTTGACCCATCTGCCTCTGTATAACTAGACTGGTCATTAGAGCCGGAGGAAACTCAAAATTGTGAATTTGTAACAAAATTGGTGTTAATTGTGTTTGTGGCCTTGACATCAGCTCATAGAATTTTTTGTTAAAACTGTTAATTGCTTCCTTGTTTCTTAAATTTTAATTATTTCTTGTCACAGTCAATATTTACTGCCGCTCTTCCCTTGGCGTCACCTTTAATGTGTTAATGACAGGTTGTTTGTCGGGTAGTTCAAGAATGGTGACGTGCTGACCTTTGAGTAGTGTTGTATTCAGTTTTGCAGGATTTTTCAATTTAACAAGTCCAATGAACCTGTAACAACTTAGATAAAGCTCTCTGTTATTGTGTCTGTAAATATCTCTTTACAAATATGTCATGCCAAAGTAAATTATCTTATTTGAAGAGAAAATCAGTGACACAGTAAGTACATCAAAATAATTATCCAGTCTGTCTTCACAAAAGCTGTATCATCTGGGGATTTTCTTGAGGGTCTGGACAGGAAACTAAGATTATCCAATTAGGTGCACAAAGAAAAGAAAATATAAGGAGTTTAGGTTGAAAGGATCACTGTAATCTGCTGTCCATTTCAATCACTATTGACCCCAGCCTCTGTGTTTTGTTTGTGTGCAGAGACAAAGGGGCAGTGCATTACCATTGGTTAGTCTAATTCTCTCCAACTTATTTAAACGTCTTCATACTTACAGTGTTGGTACATTAGTGTTTGTCAGCTCTGTAAACACTGGAATTGCTTTCAGTGAGATGGGAAGACACAAAACAAGTTGTTCTTCATGGTAAAGAACCAACCTATTGTGTACTACTTGAGATTACAGGCTGCCTTCCTGCGGTGTACCTATGATTTTTATAGGAATAGTTTAATTTCCCAGATTTTGGTGAAGTACCTGCTTTGGTTTGATATCACTACAGCAGTCTTAATTTCAGCATCAGCTAAAGAAACCAAAAAGTCAGCTGTTAAATTATGCTTAAAAGTAAACTAAGTTTTATCGCAGCATTGGTTATATTCTTGCAGTTCTTGCAGTTGGTTCGTTACATTGTACTTTCAAAAGTAATTGCTTAGGTCTTGGATTGAGGCAACATCTCTAAAAACGGATCCAAAAGGAAACCCTAAAAGTCAGACCATAGTATAGGATGGAAGCTACTACTGACTAACTACCCTTTCCATGTGTTACATAGTGTCACGTTGGTGATGCCTGTAGCATACACCAAGGTTGCCATGCAGACAAGACCTGTAGTTAAGGTGGAGTAGCCAGAAGGTTACTGTATCCATGGCATATCCTGATGCATTGATTGACTAACGCCGGCAGTTGCATAGCAAAGAATGAATACAGGTGTTTTGACGCATCACGCTCTGCCAGTGTGTGTTGTCCTCTATTTTGTATTTCTTTCAACTTGAAAATTAATCTTA